GTTTTCTGAGCGCACACATCTGAAGCACACGCACAGAAAGCGGCTGTCGCAGCATGCGAGTACTAAACTAAGTTCTCATTCACACACAATTTTATGTTAAAAACACACATGAGTTACAAAAAACAGTGGGTTATGTCTGTGAAGGTAAACTGCTGGGAAATAAATTGCTTGTTTATTTTAGATCTGTGTGGCAGCAGCAATATACAGTAAATACATCAATAAATGCACTGCTCTGTTGTCTCCTCTGAGGCTGGGACTCTAAACAGTGTTCTGTGCTCGTCTGTGCAGCCAAACACAGAACAGTTAGCGTGTTCTGCTCAAACTTTCTCCATGGCATTAGAGCTGCTACACCTTTGTCACTTGTGAAAACACAATAACGGTGGGTGTAAACTTACAGATTAAGAGGCGGTGATATTATAATGAGATCCCTTTGCAACGTCACCAAGAGAGCGAAATCAGACGCGCTTGTTTTCTCAGATGCTTGCAGAAAAGGGCTTCCCAAAACTAAGTTACTGGGTTAATGTTTTTCACGTTTCCTTGGTTAGTAGATGCACCGGGGACCTGATTATAGCACTTACAACCTGGAAAAGTCAGATTTTCATGATATGCCACCTTTAAGGCAAGAAGGCTGTATTGAATGTTTGATTTGTGTAATTCTGAATAAAAGGGCACATTTCAAGACCAACAACACACCAGTGTATGAATATCACGTCACACATTACAAAAACAGCTCACTCATATTCACAGCGCAACCACGACCAGGTTTGTACATATATATTTAATGTGCACTGCAAAAAAATGATTTTCTTCAGTATTTTTGACTTGTCTTCCAACACAAACATCTAAACTTCTTAAGTCAAGATACTTTGAAGCTAAATAAATTAAGCTATTAAGTTTTGTATTCTGGAGAAAATTAAATGAGTTTATATTTAAAATAAGAAAAATATCTGCCAAAGGTGTCAGAAATATAATCATAATTCAAAGGGAAACAAGTTTGATTTGTTTGACCCCACTGGCAGACAGTTATCGTTTTAAGCAAAAAGTCACTTAATTTTGACACATTTGTCAGATCTTAAGTTATTTTGCTTCTCAAGTAAACGTATCTTTGATTTAAGAACGTTACTAAAAGACAAGAAAAGTACTCATTGCGTGTCCACACTTTCTAGCAAATATAGTATAGCAAATAATATCTTATGTATTTTACACTCAAAATGTACAAATATTACTTGAAAATGAATTGTAAGAAGTAATTTGTAATGAAATTGGTTTCACAGATGAGTATCGACAGATGAATCTGCGAAGCACAGAATATTGGTACTATATTGATTATCTGCTGATATTAGATATGTTTTTAAAAGTATATTTTACTGATGTTGGCCGATATTGGATATTACATTTCATGCATACTCATTTCCTTTACATGTAGAATACCTTTACTCTGGTCTAACTTAAAGTTAATCTGTAAACATTGTTAAATGTAATCGTCAACAAATCTGAAAATGAATATCCATTTTTCACACAGTTCATTATAATGTTGTGATGCCTAAATTCTGTTTTAGCATTTAA